TGCGAGTTCCCTTTTCCTTTTCCGGCATTCAGTTTGGGGGATTATGCGAAAGTAAGTGCTACATGTGTCTCTAAGTTGGGGCTTTAAAAGTAATTTTCCTTGTTTGTTCAAATTGTTTCTACACTTTAAGCAAGCAGCTGCGTGTGATTGATATTTTCACATCAAAAGAATATTATTATCCAGCTGATAGCTAGCTTAGATTTAATTTACAGTCTAACTCAGATTTGAAGAACCTTGTAACGTTATAGATGAATAGCAAAAACTTTGTATAAACTTTTAGAACGTCTAAAATGATATTCGTTAAACTCATTAATTTATAGCAAAAACTTTCGGTTTTTGGGAAATAAAGTTTTCCATTCAGATTATTTTTCGTCTGACCAAATTTTGCACGCCTCATAAAGCTGCGGCACATAAATAAAATTTTCATAAGAAGACATGATTTCTGAAGAAGGGTTGCTGCCGGGTGAAAAAACTCATCAGAAATTCAGCATGCGTGGTCTTATGAAAACTTGATGCCGCCGTGATGACACTCATTGTCTTGAGTGAAAAGTGTGGCAAATGACGTGAGCAAAGGGATGGGGATGAGGAGGCCTGAAAATTTCGTCTTTTATAAAATTGCCAGGCTCCCACTCACATTTTAGTCGCGGTCTTTTGTTCGACATTCCAGCAACGCTTTTTAAACATTTGCTACACACATTCTTCTTGGGCGGCAAATGACTTTCAAGCTGCCATTTCCTCCGGATTCTCCTCCATTTCACCACCCGCCAGGTGTCCCCCGCCTCGCTCAGTGCATAAAAAGTTTTCTAATGAAAAATTCAGCTGCTCAGTTAAAGTTTTGCTTATGAAAATGCAGCTGCCAGCCGAGGAGTGACCAGATAACAGGGAGATGGAAATGGAAACAGAGTATTCGAGAATAACTCCCTGAATTGGATGCGGATGGCTTAAGCTGCACAAACTGCCTCGAATTGCGAAATGAAAAGTAATCAAATTCTTGTTCGTAGTTCGCAGACTCGTGAAAAGGTTGAGCCAAGTTTTTACTGAACTCTAAAAAGTTCAAAATCGTGAGGGTGACATTTCGCTATAAAGGTGAATAAGAACGGTAATAAACTTGAACTACTGAATGGAACTGCACTCATAGAAATTTTTACCCTAAATCGCCCTAAAAAACTGACTTTTTGCCCGTGGATTTAGAAAATCGCCCATAAATCGTATCCGCTGGCGATTCGCCCGTGTATTTAGAAAAATTTTCTAAAAAATCCCGATGGAAATTTGGTTTAATTTAGGGTGATTTTTCTTGAAATAAGAAATATTTTCCTGTTTTTAGGGTGATTTGCCCTAATTTTAAGGTGTATTTTTCTAAAATTAAGGGCGAATTTTCTGATTTTATAGGCAAATGCCCTAAAAAATTAGACAAATTAAAAAAAATCGTGTTTGAGCATGCTTAACTGAATTTGGGAAGCATGTTTTTTTTTAATCGTCTATATTCTGGGACTGCTGCTTTAATTAAACAACACCGGCGGAGGACACCGTTTCATATTATTGTATTGGTGTGTAGCTTATATGGGAGCTGCGTTAAGAGGGGGGCCCGATCTATATATGTATACAACAAAGCCGTTAGAACTGAAAAATCATGTTTGTAAACGAATTAGGGAAATAAATATGAGGAGAAAAAACAACTTACTTTTTTTGGTCGTTGCGAGAATCGAACCCACGACCTCTCGGTTTAGAGTCTAACGTCCTACCGCTGCACCACAGACCCATCGCGCAAGACAACGAACAAACTCTGCAGACATCTTATTTTCTTGAGGTCTACGTTATATTTTGACTAAAGGCAACTAAACCGTATATTTTTTCCTGACGACTGTGACAATTAGTCCCGTTTTCTTGCCAGCAAACACAAAGATGCTTTTAACTCAGAACTCCCATACGTTTTTAAGGTTTAAAGACTACTTTAATTTAAAATTCGGACGAAAAAATGTCCTTAGTATTATAACGTTTACAAAAAAAAAAAAATAAATAAAAATCAAGTTGAATCACACAGGGTTCGAACCCACAACCGCACGACTTTAGTCCTCATATAGCAAAGTTGAAAGCGCAAGTGATTAGACCGCTGGGCTACCGAATCTCACACTTTTGGAGTGATTTTTAAGGCGAATCGCCCTTGTATTTAGACAAATTTTAGAAAAAAAATTAGGGCAATTCGCCGTTGGATTTAGAAAAGGTCAAATCGAAGCAAATCGAAAAAATCGCCCTAATTATTAGAAAAATAGAAAAATTAACCCTAAAAATATTTTTTTATGGTCACCTGCCTTGAATTTATGGCAAAATTGTCGTGAAAATAGAAAATTTTTCTCAGTTCAAGGGCGAAAATTTTTTTAGGGCAATTTTCTAAAATGTAGAAAATTATTTTTATGAGTGTGTTACAACTTATTTAATTAGAGCTCCGGCTTTTTGTTTTCCATTATTTGGCATTGTCAAGATTTTTCTTAGATTACATCTAAATTTGTTTTCTCAAACTTTTAACCCTTCCCTAAGCTGAGAATGCAAATGGTAGTAGTGTTGTTTATTTTAGAAGCTACATAATAATGCCTTTCCTTATTTACTTTGCAACAAAATTATTTACCAAACTCGCGAAACTCGATTCTCCTTTAAAAGCATTTGCCATCTTTGTTCAAAATTAATTTTGTTCTAGTTAAAAGATGGAAATTTCATTAAAGCCCACGCCACTGCCATCCGCATAATTTATAAAGTGTCGAGCTGAAAACTGCCCACCGAGCAGCTTCAGCTTCAGGCTCCAGCCGCAGTTTCCATCTAGGAACCGAGCATCCGACTATCCGACCAACCAGCAAATCCGTCCATTTATCCATTGAAGGTCCGGCTGCGGCCATAACAAGGCGTGACTTACAGCGTACTTGAAGGGCCAGAATGAAGCAATTTTAATTTGCTGCTCTTGGCTGGATAGTAAAACATCAGCAGTAGCAACAAGATGAAGATGAAAGTCGAAAAGAAAGGGACTGCTGGTCGCCTCCACCCAAAGTTTTTGCAGTCAAAATGCAGTGGGCGGGTCCCAAAGTGTTGCGCTTCATAAATAAAAGGGGGGAGAATGTCCGGGGCAGAGGATGTGGTGCTGGATGAGCGGCAAACTTATAGCTCTGTTGGCCAGTGTAAAAGCATATTTTCTGCTTTTAATTGCAATATATTCTTTTAGACAAAATGACTGATGATGGTAAAGTTGCTTCTCTCTCTTTCCCTCGCTTGTTGGATATTTGCCGTCTTTCTTCGCACAAGCGGCAAAAATATATTGCCATGAAATTCGCAGATGGCACAGGAAACGGAAACCCAGCGGAGACAGGCATGTCTCCACACTGGCAAACTCCGTTTGACTGCTAAATGAACAAGGGAAGCCCATACTACACTTTTCTCTGCATTTCCCACCCGCCGCCCAGCACTTTCCACTTTCGCACAGCTTCGAGGCACTCGGAGTATTGCGGTTCTTGGTCACTGCGGTCCTTGCTGTTATTTTTTATTACACTACTGCGAAAAATCGCTTGGACTATCCAAATATACATGTTAGAGCTGTTGAAAATTAATTTTATAATTATTTAGAATTTTATCGATTAAATGGAATTCCTAATGTAAAAAAGTAATTAGTTGGGGTCTAAAAATATGCAACCGACAACTTCTGAACTAATCGGGTTCTTGGTATTTCATAGATCCAAAATAAGGAATTTTGTTGCTACTTTTGTGTATTCTCCATTTGTTAAGTGTAGCCTCCTTGAATCCTTTCTCCGCCTTAGCGAAACAAATAACTCAGAGATAAAGAGAGAAAAGGGGTAGAAGAAACCGAAGAAGGGGTACAAAAGGAGGGGCTCCACAGAGGCCTTTGTCTTAGCCATCGCGACCGCCATTTTGATGATGAATAAATGAAGGCCTTTTTGTTTTTGGACGTGGCCAAGGAGAATTTATCACTTTCATTTACTAGACATACACTCCTCCAGCCGAATGGAATAATTAAAGTCTTCACCAGTACTTTAATCCTCGTTTTTCAGTTCATAAATTTAATATTAATGCGTGCTTCATGTTTAGTATTTATACGTTATTCTTGCTTCTGGGTGGGGCGCTTGCAGTGCAGCGGTCATTAGTCAGAAAAGTTTTCTTCCTATTCACTCGGCTTGTTATAAATTTCCTAATTTATTTCTCACTGAATCCAGAGCTATTTCCCTCCCAGCTGAAAGATGTGGGTGGGGTGGTGTTTTCGCTGAAGTGCAAAAATGGCAAATCGCTGAGAAAACTCATAATTTTTTCCCTGACCTGCTGTGAAGGCAGTGTAAATTTTATTATTGGCAATGCCAACTGCACGGTCTCCAGCAACTACAACAAAGTTTCCGGATAAAGTTTTAGTTTTTTCCGCGCTCTATCAGCCAATATTACACTCCCCTCAAATCCCCTCTCAAACAGATGATTAATGAAGCTTTGAAAAGCTGAGTGCAAATTTAATCAAGCGCACAAGCAAATCGAAACAATCGACGAAAAAATGGCCAACTTATAATAAGCTCCAAATTGGCACAATATGCCCAGGAAAAGAGAATAGAAAATGGAATTATGTAAAGAGGGAGGTAAAAACAAAAGAGCATCGGGCTTAGAAAATAAATTATGCAATAAGTAGGACTCTGGCACTTTGTGATTTATTATTCGATTTTTGACATGTATCCTCAATGGCGGAGTGGAGAGCTAGATAATGAATAATTGCCTTATGTAAATTGTTTGACACTCATAAAGGGAAAACTAAATAATGATTGATTCTTAGTAAGATAAGCCATAGAAAAAGTATGGCAGATATAGCTCAAATATAACTATTCAATAGACAATTTAATTTAATCTTAAAATGGGAATTTATGAGTGACATTTAACCCAAAATCTTCATTAAAATTATGAACTGCATACACATAAATTAAATATTTTGGATATTACTTTAACAGTTATATTATCTTTTAATTACAGATGAACAACGTTGTTACTCCTGCAGTCCTATTGAACGTGAGTATTTAATATAATCAATCTTATATGTAATTTAACAATGATTCAAAATTGTCCGAAACACTTTTTAATTAAGTTTTCTTTGTTATAGTTCTCATCGGATATTAGCTTACAATCTACTAAAAATGACTTTTAATATTGCAATATTTTGATTAGTAAATAAAATCCTATTTACCTTTATAAACCTCAAAAGAGCACAATTTAGTCTTGGGGAAAATGTATGCATTAGTTGACTTTATTTTACCCTCTTCAAAAATATTATCTGCTCTCAGCTCGCAATCCAGTTCAGACATTTTCTTAACCCTTTTCGCTGGCACGTGCTTTAAATTGAAGCAAAAGTGTGATGGCCCGAAAGACAAAGTCCCAGATTCTTTCATCCTGAAAGACAACTTCATTCATCATGCTGTCTGTTTTATATATAAATTTCATTAAACTTGCCAAGGACCTCCAATAATCAAGTGGCCGTTTTATGCGTATTTGTTCTCTGACGTATTCATGAGCGCCAACTAACGCCATCAATTTGCAAAAAGTCCTGCCAGCCCGAAAATATTTGCCCCATGACAGGCGAGGGCCTAACTTTTGGCATTTCTTGGTCCTGGGGTGACCTGACAGGACCTGGACCTGGTGTCCCGGTGTCCCAATGCCCCGGTTCGTGGCCCAATTATTATCATAATGCCAAATGAAGATGACAACATTGACAGCATCGGCATGCTGGTCGAGGGGCCAAGTTTTAATGATACTGCTAAAGTCGCTGTCTGAGGGCCAATTAATCACTGCTGCCCAGTGTCTCCGTTTGAGTGTCACTTAATTTTTTATGATACTCCGCCTTGACTTAGCGTCAAACGTTTCACGTTCAATTGTTTTATGCCGTCTGCGCTTTGAGGTTACGAGTGGTCTCTATAAAGTGTTTTTCACCCTGCACTCAAACCGCATTTTCCCGCCCCTCGAGCGAATTGTTGTCGAGACTTTCGAGCCATTTTGAGTGCCAGCGTCCTGGCCAGAAAGTTTTCTCTGTTGCCCGAGAATGAAACCGTCAATTTGCCGCAAATATACGTACACATAGGATGGCGATGGGGGAACCACGGGGTGGGGGAAATATATACCAACTACGAGAAGTTTTTAATGGCCATTGAGGCCAGTTTATGCAGCTGCCACTCCCATTTGGCATTTACCAACCAGCTGCCCTCAATCCGCCCTCCCTTATGGTTTGTTGCTATTATTAAATTAGTTGCGGGCGATTTGTGGTAATTAGGGTAAAATTTAATGGCTCTTTGAACTCGGAGGCAAAATGGAAAATTTATATGCCGACATTTCATTTACATATATAATATTCTGCCACGCTCTTTCGGCCGACATTTAATGGTTTAAATATTAATTATTCAATATAATCATTTTAAATTGTCTTAAAAACAAATATATATTTGACAATTACGTATTAAAAATATAAATTATTTTTATTAAATATATAAATAAATCATTTATTGATAAATATGTTTTGAAATTGCGTATTGTTGAGCTTGATAATTTAATATCTAATTTCAAGAAATTTTATTTTTAATTTTTTTATTTAATTGAATTTATAATATATATTTGATTAAATGGTAATAGTAAAACTTTTCGTGAAAATGGACCTGTGTTGAACTTTAGAGACGTGCTTATTTTCTGTGTACGGCTTAGCTGAAATTATGTGCCCGGATTTAATTAGGGAAGGGGATTGCTCATCTCATCCATCTGGCCTATCATAGTCATTCACCTGGGGTCTAATTAGGTCGCATCACTGCATCGATTAGCTGGCACACTATTCCCTGTGGGATCAACACCTACCGTCTCCCTTACTCCTGCTCTCCACAGGATACGGATACATATCTGTGCAGATGAAATCCCACCAGGTGCATAATCCTCTTGCTGCTGGCACCTTCAACCACCGAGGTCTCGCCAATCTGCCCGTGCATGATGCTGAATCTTATTTGAGGCATCAGCAGCCGTATCATCATCATTTATTTATGCGTGGCACAGCGTTGCATGGATGCATTATGGGTATGACGACATCTGCTGGATTCACGCGGTGTTAATAACACGTCAGCATTCGGGGCGTATACTTGATGACGGTGTGCGTGTGCTGGAAAAGCGCATCAAGTATACGCCATGCTGGCATCTTACACAATGCCGCCCCTGGAAGAAGAACGCCAGTCGACAGCGGCTGCAGCTAAACGCGTTTAATGGCCATCGTTGTCTGTTGCGCGCTGCGTCTTGCAAATTGCAATTAATTAATTGAAGTGCCGGTGGTGTCGCATCCACATCCACATTCACCCATTAATGTCTGCACAATGGCAGGCAGCAAACTGCTTAAATGGCTGTCACGTCTGCCTCTCGAGAAACAGCCAAAAGAGCCACCCGGAGCTCTTCTGTCTTATTTATGAGTCTTAATAGCGAGCCAGCAGCCCACACAAGTTGGGCATGCTTTCTTAACAGGTTAAGTAGCAGTTTGCCTTGGCAAATTGAAAAGTCTAGCGATGAGTGGCATATGTACGCCAATTTAATTCCACCTGCAGTTGGAGGATTCTTTTTTCGTGGCCCCAGCTTAATGAAGGTAATTTGCCGCCAATTTGATATAAAATCAATGAGAGATCTCGCGAAATAAGAAGCCGTAATGAACATATACGCCATAATGCGAAATTGACATTAATTAATTTTCATATTTACCGTTTTCATTGGAAGGACGAAATGAGGTAAAGAAAAATATCCCGAAAATAAGTTTAAAAGCCGCATTGTAAATGCCATTTCCAGGGGATGTCTGCATAATAATTCATTGAATCCCAGTAAAAGGATAACCTTCGCAAAAGCCTTTTAAATTTCCCAATCGAAATCAAAGTGACAGGAAGGAATTGCCTTAAAGCTAAATACTTGAAATTCTCCAGACATGCGTGTCACTTAATTAAGAAGAAAGGTAAAATTTTACTACACGAGCTTGTGGGAATCCTCTCAAAAACAATGTTTATTGTAATTTGTTTGTAATGATAAAAAGAACGGAACGGCACACGCGAATGGCATATAAAAAACAAAATCGAGCTGGTGAATCAAATTAAAATTGCACCCACATTTAATATTCATTGAAAACATTTTGTAACAACAATAATAATGCTGCGCGTATCTCGCCAACCTACTGGTGGAATTGAATGGATATTCGAGAGTATATATACATATAAAATACAAATACAGGATATACACGTTTGATATGAAATAACAAACCGAACTGTCGTGGGCGGAATTGCAAACACATTGAGAGCCCCAAAACCCGGGGTGAATTTATTGATGGAATGTGTGGCGGCACCATTAAGGTTAAACGATTGGATTGAACAAATATTAACATGAAAAGGATTTATATATTTTTTAATTACCTCTAATTGAATTAGAAACGGATGGGATTTTATAATGTACATTAAAAGGCTCTCGACATTTTAAATATTATTTTCAAAATAATCATAAAGTGATAGATAAATATGAGCTTTCAATTAAAACAGCTTTGCAGATAATAACATAGAAACACTTAATTCATTAAATTCGTTATATAATTTTGATTAACATACACATTTTCCAAGTTTAAATCAAGCTTACTTTTTAAAAGCGGCTTTGAATTCTTTAATTAAACTGCATTAATTCATAAAAATTTTAAGATTTTTGAAATTTTATTTAATTTGATTTCAGTGACTTCTTTGATCAATTTATTCGTAAATTTCATATCCAAACTCACAGTTCAACTCAATGAACATTTTCTTATTCAACTCAATTACTCATTTAATTGAAAGTCAATTATTCCCATGACCTGTTTGGTCAATGTTATTTTCCATAATTATTTGTACGGGAGGAAATCCGATTTTAATCAGATTAGTTTCCTTTGCTTAAGTAACCTTTGCTAGTTGCAACAAACAGAAGCAGCTTATGACTCTGTTCATTTGGCACATTCAATTCTGGCCAAAAACACAAACGCTCTCTCTGGTCTAATGATTAAATGCCCATTTCTAACACATGCTTATAAATACACATGCATCTATCAGCCATAATGAATTCAATTAATTTACTCCTGCCAAAAATACAGGATTATATACACACATGACCGACTTTATCATATAGGAGGAGCTTCGTCCCATCCTGAACTTTATCCTCGATGTCTGGGCATCATTATGATGAGTTATTGTGGTGCTGGGAGTGTCTGCGTGTGTCGAAGATTTTTCTCAGCCGATTGGGGGATATATTCTTTTCCCAGTTTTTTTTTCTTATTCGTAGCGATTTTTTTCCTTTGTTCATCGCACGTTTCTTGCGGTTTTATTAATGTGTGCTAAATGTGCCGTCTACTTATAATATACGATCCTCTCATCCACATATACTTATGCACTCCAGACGCGAATGGCTTATTTTTATGGTGCCTCATGAACTCGAGACTCGCCAATCCTAGATGATTTGTTTGCCCACAATGATGCCAAGGTTATCAGCGCGAAGTATATGTTTATATACCTCAAGTGCCAACGCATTTCGTGATATTTTTCACCATGACAATAACCTGATGGCCATTTATTATTTTGTTCGTAGGAATTGCGGTCACCGGGAGGACTGGATAAATTGGTCAAACGGATAGGATGGACAATTTCAGCTAATTGAAGTTGAAAAATGGCCCCATCTAAATCAAATCCTTGCCATTGATTTCCATTTTGATTTTCAATTGAGCCAATCTATTCGAATGCATTTTAAAAGCCCAACTTTTTGGAAACCATTTTCGGTTGCCCATTGCATCCTCGATTTATATTCACAAATCTGCAGCGTGCGACATTTGAAAAGCCAATTTCGTGCGCATCGCATCGCAAATTTTCCGCCTGGAGCCAAACTAATACATAATTAGTTCAATTTCCGTTGTTGTCGATGACAGCGAGGCATTTTCCGAAATTTTCCCCAGCTCTGCAGTGCAGTCGACTGCCTGCCTGCAAAATTCCAATAACGCTGGATTT